GTTTTTTGTATTAAAAACACTTGTCTTTCATTGGTGGGATGAAATATGCTAATTTTTTGGGACAGGCATTTTGGGTTTTCATGAGCTGTATGCCATAATCATCAGTATTAAAACAATTAAAGACATGAAATATTTCAGTTGGTGTGCAATGAATCTGAAATATATGAAAGTTTCATTTTTATCATTACATTATGGAAAATAATGACCTTTATCACAATATGCTAATTATTTGAAAAGGGCCTGTATATCACTTCACTGTAAATAAATCACTTTATATTACACAAGAGTTTCAGGCTGTTATCCTCAGTCTGTTCACTCTGGGTAAACACCACCATTGTACCAGGACAATCCCAAAGATCCAGTCCCCTGGCACAAACAGAGTAATATTGTGTATGATAACACTTCATAGTCCTGATGGTGGTGACTTCATCAACACACTTGCTGATGTATCTGAGGACAGCAGATATGTATTCCTCCAGATCCAGCTCTTCCTCATTTACAGCAGCCTCCCTGAAGATATGCCAGTCTGCACATGCAAAACATTCCTTCAGTACAGAGTCATTGTCACTGACCCACATGGTGAGACTGGATGAGAGTGAGTTTGTTGCAGCTCATCAGACTGACAAAGTATTTCGAATAAAATACAAAACCTTTCAACAAGAAGAATCTGTCCAGAGAACCTGACTTAATATTGTTAGACTTTATAAATAAAGTTGTTGTACTATTGACCTGGAAGTAGTAATGTTCCTGTGATGTCAACTCACTATCCATTTCATCAGATGTAGAAATCATTGTAACACAGTCACATGACCTTTCAACATAGACAGTTTATTTCATTTCCACCACTTTTAGTGGGTGCTTCATTATGTTTGTCAGTGAGTGTATTTGTCCTTCAGCTAATACTTTGCTTTTGCATTTAATAATTATCTAAAGCTCATCAAGTGGTATAAAATTCTTTACATTTTGTAAGTGTAAGAGATTTTGGATACAACAATGAAATAAATCAGTTTCCAAATGTCTTTAATTACCAGTAGCTGAAATAATTCCTAAATAAGAGTGATGTTTGGAATGTACTTGCTTAGAAAATAAGCTTGTGTGTATTTTTTGTTTGTTTTTTGGGCAGACCTACATTGGAAATATCCTACTATCAATGAACCCCTTCAAGCCTGTAAACATTTACACAGAAGAGATGAGACAGATATATGAGGGCAACGAGCAGCATGCTAACTCACCGTGAGCTAATTTTTTTAACTGCTATTTAACATAATTGTTCTTTTTAATTCAACTTCCATCATGTGGTTTAAAGTGTTGTTTTTTGTGTTTTGTGCTTAAAATGATCTTGTTCTCTACTTCAGCCATGTGTATGCCATAGCTGATTCAGCCTTTCAACTTTCTCAATCCTCTACACAAGAACAGTGCATTGTCATAAGGTATGGACAAAATCACCATTTTTACCAGACTTAGTATTTATTTCTGGTTAGTTTAACCAAAATTGTAGTTTTATTTGTATATGGCTTTTTATTATGCACAATAAATCTCCTTTCCATCAATCCATCCATCCATCCGTCCATCCATCCATCCATCCATCCATTCATCCATCCATCCATCCATCCATTCATCCATCCATTCATCCATCCATTATCATCCATTTGTTCATAAGTCGTGTTGAGGGAGCAGCAGCTTGAGCAGGGAGTCCCAGACATCTCTTTCCGCAGCCAGCTCTTCTGGGAAGATTCCAGGGCATTTCCATTACAACCGAAAGACACAGTCTCTCTAGCATGTCCTGGGTTTCCTTGGGGTCACCTCCCAGTTGAACATGCTCCGGGCACCTCCCTAGGGAGTTGCCTAGAAAGCATCCTTACCAGATGCTCGAACCACCTCAACTGGCTCCTCTTGATGTGGAGGAGCAGCAATTATGATATGAGTATCTCCTGAATAACAGAATTTCTCACCCTATCTCTATGGGAGAGTCTAGTTACTCTGCAGACGAAACTCATTTCTACCACCTGTATCCTTGATCTTGTTCTTTCGGTCACTACCCGGAGTTCGTGACCATAGGTGAGGGTAGGAACGTAGACTGACTTGTAAACAGAGAGCTTTGCCTTACAACTTAGCTCCATCTTCACTACAACGGACCAGCACAGAGTCCACAGTACTGCAGACGCTTCACCAATCCATCTGTCAATCTCACGCTCCATTCTTCCCTCACTCATGCACAAAACCCTGAGATACTTGAACTCCTCCACTTGAGGCAGAACCTCACCCTTGAAATGAAGGCAGCAATCCACTCTTTTTCGACTGAGGATTATGGCCTCAGATTTGGAAGTGTTGATTCTCATCCCAGCCGCTTAATACTCTGCTGTGATCCGTTCCAGTGAGAGCTGAAGATCATGGCATGATGATGCCAACAGGACCACATCATCTGCAAATAGCAGAGATGGAATTCTGAGGCCATCCAACTGGACTCTCTCCACCCCCTGGCTGCACCAAGAATATCGGTCTATGAAAGTCATGAAAATAATCTGTGAAAACAACACTGGTAGAGTCCAACTCCCATCCTAAAGGGCATAAGCGTCGCAACCATTATATGTAAAGGGGACAAGTCCCCCCCACATTAAAAAAAACGTTCATTTGAACTCCCCCCCCCCTACTATAAAACATTAGTTCAGACGGCGCAGTTTCTCTTTCTTTGTGAACGAATCCATTCCACACTAGAAGAATACTCAAGCCACTAAAACTCCACTCCAGGTTTTCCTGGTTCCCTCCAACTCTCCACCGTTCCTTCCTGCCTCTTGCCTCGGCAGAAAACACGCACAGGTGGAGGAGGTGGAGGTACCTGTGTTACTCGCTCGCCAGTTTAGCAGCTTAGTGCGGGTAGTTGTTGACCAGGGGGTTGATCATAAACATATATTCATGTTAGGAGGATGTTTGAAAGGAGCGCTACGTCTGTAGCATCTTATCTCAGCAGTAACTGTGACATTGTGAGACGCTGCAGGTGTAAGAGACGCTGTGTGTTCAGGTGCATTAAAGCTGAAATGTCTTTAAACCACCACACCTTATTGTCCTCAAGCTTCATGAGAAACATCATTTAGATGAGGAGTGTTGAACACAAGTAAAAAAAAGTCCAGTGGTGATGATTTTATTTCTCTATAAAGACAAATAGTGCAGATGACGCTCTGTATTAAAGTGTATTAAAGTTAAAATGTCTTTAAAACCCACAGATGAATTTACACAAACTTGGTGAGAAACATGCTTAAAATGTGTGGAATTAAAGGAAATCTTGGTGAAATGCTGCTTTTTTGTTCACTAGTGAACACCTTTTTTATGTGCACACACACGTGCACGCACGCACACATGCGTGCGCACACACACACCTACCACATCATTGTGTCCCTCCCCCCCCACCACCACATTATGGATGCTTCTGACGCCCTTGCTAAAGGGCTACATGTTTCTGCCAGCAATGCGAACCAAACTCATGGAAACTGAACAGCTCGTAACAATGGGCCGCCAAGTCCATATTCACTGAGCACCTCCCACAGTGTACCCCGAGGAACACAGTTGAATGTCTTCTCCAAGTCCACAAAGCACACGTAGACTTGATGGGCAAACTCCCATGACACCTTGAGGACCCAAGTGAGGCTAAAGAGCTGGTCCAGTGTTCTGGAGATGGAGCCCACATTGTTCCACCTGAATCTGAGATTCAACCAATGATCAGACTAGCTTCTCCAGTACCCCTGAATAGACTTTACCAGGGAGGCTAAGGAGACATGTCCCTGGAGCACACCCTCCGGTCCCGCTTTTTGAAGAGGGGAACCACCAACCCAGTCTGCCAGTCCAGTAGCCAATACCCAATGTCCACACAATGTTGCAAAGGTGTGTCAACCAAAACAGCTCCACAACATCCAAAGCCTTAAGGGTATCAGTGCAGATTGCATCCATCCTCAGACCCCTGCCTGAGTGTTTCTTAAAAGAAATAGATTTTTCAGAAAATTGATGGACTGTTTTTTTTGGGGGGGGGGTGAAATGTGGGGGTGGTTCTGGAGTGATCAGAACTTAGCCAGTTCTATTCCTCGGACCGACAACATAAAAATGTGGGTGGGAAAAGTGAAACACCCTCATTTGCTCCACCTTGGACCCTTGAGCAAGATCCTCAACCCCCCACCATCTGCTCTCCAAGGTGCCCTAGATAGCAACTCTCTGCTCCACACAGAGGGCTGTGGTAGCTCAGTGGCCTGTGGTTGTGTCAGGAAGGGCATCCGGCGTAAAAACAATAGCCCAGTCTTCATGTGAGTTAGATCGCTGTGGCAACCCCTGAAGAAAGGAGCAGCTAAAAGAAGAAAACAAATTAACTTCATTTTTTAAACAAAGAATGAGTCTTTGTACTAAATGTGTACAGCATCAATAAAACCTGTGACTGGCTTCACTATTTTTTTTATTTGAATCACAGAGTCTAAATTTGTCCAATTTTTTCTTCTTTGTAGTGGACAGAGTGGTTCTGGAAAAACCGAAGCTACAAAACTAATAGTTCAATACCTCAGCTCCATGTATTGCAGCATAAGCAACAGCCTTCGGCAGGTAATTCATCTGGAAAACAAATCAGTATCAATCAGCAGCTTTGCATAGAATTGGCTTGGGGCATTGCCTTGTTTTGCCTTTAAACTTTTTTTTTCCTTTTCATTGTTTTTTAGCCTATGGAAGTATTTCCAATCCTTGAGAGTTTTGGAAATGCCAAGACCATCCTCAACAACAACTCCAGTCGCTTTGGCAAGTACCTCCACATCCATATTCTTCAGTAAGTCCACACATTCTAACTTAGAGTTGGATGATTTTCTGATTCATCCCATCTTTTGTTTTAAGATGAGTTATAACTGCTTGATCTTTCCTTGTTTGTCCTCTTGGTTGGCAGTGGGATTGTTGTTGGGACCTCATTGTCCAAATATCTCCTGGAGAAGTCCAGGGTTGTCTTTCAGGTGAGTACACTGTTGATTTCCATGATAATACATTTACTGTTGAAGCTATTTTTATCAACCAAACACATTCAATTCAATTTAAGTTCAGTTCAGTCCAATAAATTTAACTAAATTCAACTTACCATATTATGAATAATTGGATTAATCTCATTTAAGGTAATGAGCCATACAAATCAATTTACTATGCACTGTTAATGTATAGTAAACGTAATCTCAGGTCACTGTCCATAAATAAATAAATAAATAAATAAATAAATAAATTAATAAAAATAAATCAGGTCCAGTGTACAGTATGTCCAATAAATGCAACCCAACACAATCAGATGCAAGCCATCTATAAACAATGTAGTGCCAATTTATTTATAAACCAAATTTTAAAACCACAGAAGTCGGAAGGAACAATTCCCTCTTAACAGGAAGAAACCTCCAGCAGAACTAAATCAGGCTAAGGATTGTACGGGTTCTGGGTGTTGTCCTGTCTTTGCCTGTGTCCTCATGTTTGCAGTCAGCTCTCAGTGTTTTCCCTCCTTGTGTTCAGCCCTTGTCTCACCTGTGTCTAATGTTAATCAGCGCAAGTGCCTGACGTTTGTCCCAATCAGTGTTGCATATTTATTCAGTTCCCTGGTGCCTTGTCTTTGTCTCCGGATTGTCCTCTCATGGTGTTATGAACTGTCTCCGTCGTCTTCCAGTCACATTGAGGTTAGCTGCCCGCTCAGCGTTTGATTTTGTTTGTAAATAAATTTCATGTTTAACTTTTTACCTCAAGCCTCCTGTCATCCTCCTGCATGTGGGTTCAACACATCTGATGACCAATCATGACAGAATCCAGAGACCAAACTGAACCCAGCAGGAGGACAGTTACTCTATTACAGTTTCTGGCCCGTGAAGTGGACAAAAACACCCGACGTGACAGAGAAATGGAGGAGAGAAAAAAGACTCAGTTTTGGGAAACTTGTCTGGCTGTCAAACCTGGGACCTCAGCCTCTCAGCCTCTCCTTCTCTCACCATCTCGCCTCGCTGCTGCACCCCACCACCCCCACCTCCTCCTGGCTGCCCTGAACAATCTTCAGAGAGAGGGGGGTGAACCGCTGGTCCTCCCTGAGTCTGGCGCAAGAAGGGGAGAGCTTCACAAGCGGGGGACAGCCCAGCCCTCGGTTGCTGGAAGAACAGTGGAAAATTTTGCTGAGGGGGAGGTACCTGTCAGAGGAGCAGTCCAGCTCTCGCTCACTGGAGGAGCGAGTTCACTGGGGCAGAGGTACCCATGCCCCCACTTGCCAGATGGAGCAGTCCAGCCTTCCCTTGCTGGAGGAGCTGGAGCGACGGAAGGTTTCTCTGGTGGAGATGTTCCTGGGTCTGCCAGAGGTGCAGTCCAGCCCCCACTCGCTGGAGGAGCGAGGGGATATTTTTACTAGGAGAGAGGTACCCATGCCCCGACTTGCTTGTCTCAGCAGCTTCACCCTCCCTGTACTGCAAGTCACCTGCTCCACGTCCTCTGGTCCCCTCACCTGCTGCACAGGTTCT